ATCAATACCGTCATTTAGTGGTTACAATAACAGGGGCATCCGAAACATGGTAATTAATTAGGAGTTGGATATTTTTCTTTCTTCTTATCCAAGTGATTGATGAGCTCAGGGAATGGGCACAGAATACAATAAGATATCAGTAGTATAATTAATTTTGAACAGAATTATGGTGTAGCAGACCTGTGAATTATATGTCATTGACAACAGATCCCCACATTCTTCAATAAGACCTCTTTCTCCTCCAGTCACCCTAGCTACTTCTGAGATCAAATGTTCTGTTTCTTCAGCCTGCATCAAGAAATGTTCAAAAGAATCATTCATGATGGGTTTGGAGGATAAGAAATGGAGACAAATTTAATTTTGGTTAAGGTAAGGATGATAGCTTGTGACACTATTTTGGCATCTTAGACACGGGTGTGACAGAAGAGAAGGCAATTCTGTTTGGAAAAAGCGGAAAGCACCTACCTACCTCAGTTAACAGACTGTTGGTTGGCCCACCTTTTGAGTACCATCAAGCATTCTTTTTATCCACCTTTTGAGTCTAATTAACTAACTGTTCAGATTTTGTAGCAAACACGGGACCCTCTTTCTAACACTATGCCTTCATGGCGCATTGTTTTCCTTTGGATGACACAATTAGGCTGGTCTCAAACAACCTTCCTCCTTTGAAAACTTTGGTTCTCCTACCCGTATGGTTGGCGTATATTGTTTATGGTTAGATGTTTTTTCACTTCCCAACAGAAGTACTTCCATTCATTGATTATTAGAGAAAAATGTGAGAAAATCCACCTCACCTTTGGCATAAGGCTTTCATGTGAAAAGCTATTGTGTCCATCAATTTTGCTGCAGAGTTCAATGCCTCCCCTACCTCCCTAATATCAGCCTACAATGGACATCCATATCGTTGTCAGAGTACAGCACACAAGAATGATAAAACCCTGAAAGTGACAAAAGGAAAAGGGTAAAACATACTCTAGCATTTCCACTGATTGGAACTTGAAGTGAGGCATTCAACAAAGCTTGAATCGCTTCTGACAGGGATACTGAATAATCCGTTTCAAAAGCTGCCCATTCATCCAGATATGGCATCTATAAAATTCATTCCATTAGAACAACAAATAGCACTATTGTTGCTGTAAACTATTACATGTAACTGTAGATTGTTTGGTCACAATAGAGTTGCCTAAATGCAAAACACAAGTTAAACGCTCAACCAGGTGAGATACAGGCAATTTGTTTTTTTATTGTTTTATATTATTATAGTTCTGGGGCAAAAGTTGATGAAGAAGAGGGAAAAAAAATGTAGAATTCAATAGATACAATAAAACAGACTGTGTGTGTGTGTGTGTGTGTCAGCAGCAGCAGCCTTACTTGAGCTTCAACGATGGTCCATAGAAGTTTGATTCTCTGCAGAAGGCCAAGCTCAACGCGTTTTCTTTTCACTGAGTTGTATAATTCTGTTATCTTGACACCGAGGGAATACAGGTTTCTCTACGAAAGAGAAGAGAGGATTAATCACTTTTGAGATTGGAATTGAACAAAATAGCAAATATTAAGGAATGAGATTGTATAGTACCTCAGTTTCGCATGTCTGAGCTTGAGTGGAAGCCTGTGCTTTTGCGTTGACAAATCTCCACTGCAGGTGGTGGTTGTGCAGCAGCTTGAGAGATTGCACATCTTCTTGGCTAGAAACTTTCCTTGTTTTTCTAGAAGCATCAATAGGGATCTTGGAGCAAGGGCCCACTGGAGGCAGCTTTGCAGATTTGAGTGAATGAAACAAGGTGGGATCGCAGCTGCTTGTAGATCGCTGTAAATTGAGAGAACGGGAGCAAGGGGAAGCACACGGATTGTTATTATTATTAAGCCTGTTGAGATTTCTCTCCGCTAGAAATCTAGTATCGGTATCGCCGAGGAGTTCAGGAAGAGAGCTTCTGACATCATTATTGATGTTGTGATGATCCGAAGAGGAATCAGTGGAAATGGAGATCCCAGTGGATTGCAACATCTTCGCAGCAGCCGATGAGATGTTGATGTTGGAGGTGGAACGTTGATGCATCAACAGTAATTTAGAGTAAGAGGATGTGTTGACGGGGCTGAGTGTAACGGACATGTTTTTCAAACATCAAACATCAATAAAACATCAATACAATACGGCTTAGTTTATTGATTAACCTGGTATTTTCAAATTTAAGCACTATTGCTTAAATCTCTAATTAAATGAGCAATATTTATTCTAGTAAAATACTGCTTACTAATCAATACAGGGTTTTCATAAAC